CGCGCCGTTGACCGCTAGGGAGAAGGGAGAGGGGGGGGCGCGTGATTTGGCTGGAGATCCTAAAGCTCCTTTTGCACATATTTAATTACCACAATCAGTACAATAAATCAATGTTTCCCACCTTCAGCAATGTTAGGATGTCTGGGCTTCAGCTCCCAGAATTCCCCAGCCAGCGTGTTGGTAGGAAACACTGCAGTATATGATATTATTACTATTATTATAGCTATTTCTCCTTTCGCTTTTCTTAGTTTAAGATAGAGATAGGTAGATAGATGATATAGATGAATGAATGAATGAATGAATGAATGAATGAATGAATGAATGAATCAGACAGACAGACAGACAGACAGATATAGATAGATAGATAGATAGATAGATAGATAGATAGATAGATAGATAGATAGAATTTTGCTTGGCTAGACCAAGCTCCAGTCCCCCCACCTCCACCATTGGATACTCAACAATTACCCTTCTTTGCACCACAGATTATTAGCCGTCTAGAGTCACGGAAAAGCGAGATGGGTGGCTATATAAAGCAAATAAATAAATAAATTACTGTTATTTTGCTTAAGAGCCACCCAAAATCCATGCTCTGCATGCGACGGGGAATAATTGGGAGCCGGACTCCAAAACACTGTAGATTTATCATTGATTGATTGCTTAGGTGCCAACAAGTCATTGTTGACTCTTACTGTAATGCACTGTTTCTCAACCTTGGCCACTTGAAGATGAGTGGACTTCAACTCCCAGAATTCCCCATGGGAATTGGAGAATTGTAGGAGTTGAAATCAACCCGACTTCAAGTGGCCAAGGTTGAGAAACACTGATGTAATGGAATGTGAGAATGACTTTGGAAGACAGGGGAAGAGATGCTGCCTAGGGAACGATCAGATAAGAGGGGGAGAAGCCCACAGCTGAGTAATGGGCAGGGAAAGAAACTTAGAAAGGACTGCCCTAACTGATCAAGCGGTAAATAGGGATGGTGGGAGATTTGTACTTTCAGACTTGCAAGATTTTGTTAAGGTCGCCTTATGATAAGTAGAATTAGCTCATCTGCTCGTGTTTCCTGTCTGGTTTACCTGGGAGGGCTGACACTTTGCAACCACATAGATAGATTTTCTCCAGGACGATGTGTCCCTAACCTGGTTTTTCAGGCATTGTCTTTAATTAATTAATTGGTATCCACCCATTTCCTTTGGTACAGAAGACTCAATATGGCTGTCTTCCTTTCCATGCTATGTCACAGTCCAGGTTGTGTTAGGAATGGCTTCAAAGCAGTGTTTCCCAAAACCTGGCCACTTGAAGATGTGTGGACTTCAACTCCCAGAATTCCCCAGCCAGCAGCAATACTGCTTTAAAGGCAGAAGGGGGCTATCGATCAACTCGTCCCTCGAATGTCATAGGTGGTCTGTCCAGCAGAGGGCGCCTAGGGCCAAGCTACTCAGGTGAGCTCACCTGGCTGGCTGCTTGTCCGGAACTGCAAGAAAGTTGACTCGGAGCCAAAGGGGAGGTAGACAAAGAGGGATTCCAGCTGCTGTTCTTCGGTTTCCCAGAAACATTCAAGGAGCGTGTGAGACAAAGACTGCGAAGGGGCACTCTGGACAGGTGAAGGAACAGTTGCGGGATAATGGAGAAGTAGTCTAAAAAAAGAAAAAAGGCAGAGAATGAATTAGGATCGAGCGACTGGAGGGTTCAGAGCTCAAATCAATCTAATTTGCCAAGGCAGAATATTTCGCAACAGGCACTTTTACAATTGTCTGTTCCTCTGGACAGAAAAAGAGAGGAGGGACCTTTCTTAATTTAAGGTTGGGTGTTAGAGGGCCTACGGGACATTGCAAGGAACGTTTGAATGGAGAGGGAGGCTGGGTGAAAATTCAAGAAGGAGCAGACTTTGAAACCGGAGAGGTCCTGAGGAATTAAAGGCTTCACAGAGCAAGGATAACTTTGGATGCTATCGCTAAGAGTTTCGGTTTCCCCGGAAGAATGAGCAGAGCTAGGCCAAGAAATTTGCAGGCAGAGATGAAGCCATAGATCCCCATTTTTTGGAGGGGGGGGGGTTAGTGCAAAGACCACAGACCCAGAAGCAAAAACTAATCTGCAGCCTTCTTTGCATGGAGGTTAAAAAAAAAAAGAGGAGGATCATAATCATTAGCCATTTGCTTCCATTTAATGGCACCCCAAATCAGCCGCCTGAAGTGGTTGAACCTGCTGAGATACCACCTACAAGGAGGAATCAAAGAGATTAGGATAAACCACCTTTTTAATTGTTCTTTAACTGTTCTCTTAATTGTAAGCTCAGCCAAAGGTTATTTACGATTTAGAGAAAAGGTGCTGAGGTCTCGTCTTCCGAGGAAGCGCAACCGGATGACTAAATTAACCCGTTTGCTGCATTAGTCACAAAGTAGTAAACCCAAAGCTGGGTTCAGACGACCCGCTAAGCCATCCAAAAGATAAAACCTTATCAAGGTTAGCACGAACCGAGTTCAGGGTCTTGGGGGAGAAGCCCAAGTGAAGCTTCAGAGTAACATTTCGTGGTGGTGGTGGTCTAGCCATCTAGAAGAGACTCCCCAAATCTCCAACTAGCAAGTAGAAATTCTGCATTTTGGGACTCCAAGGCACCTGAAGCCCCCAAGAGATGGCTTCGGCCTTACTTCCTGTGTCCCGGTCTTGAATTTTGGGGAATTTCAAGAAAAAGACACACCATGCAAGGAAAAGAGGGCAGGGGAGTTTTTCGGCTAATCCTGCCAAAACTTCACCCATCACATCACGTTTCTCCTTCATCTAGGATGCCTGAAGTCCCGCTCACGTTACCGGTCCTGATCCGGACCATACGGAGCGCACAGACGCAGGCGGAGGAACGGGAATTGGTCCAGCGAGAAAGTGCCAAGATCCGGGGAGCTTTTCGCGGCGACGAACCCGAGACCCGGGCCTCAAATTTAGCTAAGTTGCTCTACATCCACATGTTGGGGTACCCCGCCCACTTTGGACAGGTAGGTATCAAGGTGTGAAGGAACCTAGATCTGACTTTGGGGGGAGGGCAGGAATGGGGGAGCTGTCGGGGGGACGGGCACAAAAGATTCCTCAGCCCTGGGAAAGAGGGAAGGGTGCGAAAGAAACTCAAGATAACCCCACCTTGATTCTGTTGGGTGTAAGAGGGGCAGGATTCCACATTTCTGTTACCATCCCCTATTTCTCAACCTTGGCCACTTGAAGATGGGTGGACTTCAACTCCCAGAATTCCCCAGCCAGCCCTGCTGGCT